AATTCTAGCTCAGTTTAAAGAAAAATCTTTCCTCAGGGTGCTCCAACACTGAACATGGAGCCCAAAGAGGATGAGGGATCTATATCCTGATGTATTCCAACCTTAGCTACGCAGACTGAGCTAAGGGCTTGGGCTTCCAGAGGTCCCTCCAGCTTGCAGGATTCTTGGGCAAGCTCATTTCTAGTGCTTGCAAAATGCAACACAGAGCAGTAGGCTGGAAGAGAGCTGAGACACCTTTCTGTTCCTCCAGCAAGGTCCTGTTCTTTTTCCCCAGCACTTACATTAAGGGCCTTGCAATCAGGCCATAAAGACACAGTAAGTCTAAGGAATTATCCAGGCTCTGCATCCTCCAGAGGCAGGAACAATTTCCTCAGGGCAGCAGTGGGTCTAACCCTTCAAAACACACCTAGAAGAGGTGAGCAAAGGGCAAGGCAAAACCTGCTGCTGTCCAGAATGGCAACAAGAGATCGTCACAGCAATTCTCCTCTCTGCTCCAACACCTCCGCTTCATCCCTGCACCCTGACCTGAGCATCAGGAAAGGTCCTGCCTGGGTCTGTTTCAGTTTCAGTCCTTCACCTCTGAACAGCGTGCTGTCTTCTCTGCTACAGCATAACAAGATGCCAGGTGACACTGCGGACTTGCTATCCCAGGCAGGAGGAATATGAGTGTAGCCTGTCATCTCCTCCACGCTGCCTAAGCCATAAATTGCTCCAGGTCTCACTCTCAAAGCTGATCGGGTACAGAGCTCATGCACTATGCAACGGATCCCATCCTGCAGGGATTTTCCTTCCCTCTGATCCTCCACGTTCTCCCACCCCCCCACCCCAGAAAGCAATAAGCTCCTTTCTGAGAGCTGTAGAAAGCAGGGTGGGAGAATGGAGAAGAAAAAAACCACAAAGACAAGATGAAGTCATGAGAATACAAAACTGGTACTGAAATCAAGCAGCTTCTTAATGAGGTCACTGGGGATAAAAGCTCTTCTTTCCTTGCCCCAGGAGGGTTACGCACCCTGCTCCGTTATTATTTTTATAGAAGACAAACAAGCAATTCTGAAGGTTGGATCCTGGATTTCGTGGGTATGAGAAGAGGCCCAGTATTGCCAGTTATTCTTCCATTCACAAAACCCCCTAATATTCAAGGATACCAGTATATTCACCTCTGCATCTGCAAGGCTGCTAATCAGCTTGTAGCAACTGCCATCACCACGTTGCCGCCAGCAGCAAGCCATGCCAGGCGGTGCCTCAGCCAGAGAATCATTTTAAGACAAATGTAGAAAACTCGAGGAGAAAATCACAGCCCTTTGGCTTGATGCAGAAAGAATTTGATTGTCTGTTGAAAAACACTTTCCTTGTGTGATTAATGACAGTAAGAAAAAAATCAGCATTCACAATCTGCATGTAATATTGCAAGCAAAGGCAGGAGCTTTCTTCTTAATTTTCCTGTTCAAGGAAATGAAGCATTGCTGGTGAGACTCCAGACGTAAGTCATAGGTTGGACTCCACCCCGCACAGAAAAAAACTGCCTCAGGCAGTTGATTTTGGAAGAGCAGACCATTGGGCCCCTATTCTTTTGCTTTCTGGTGTTCAAGGTGTTTGGTGACTTTGAGCCATTTCTAAGGTTCCACTTGGCTATCCAGAGCCGCAAACGCTATTGAGCAGATCTCAGCTGAACGGAATTAATTCCTTATACCTGTGCACACTTAAAAAGCCCTTCACAGTGTGTGTACTAACCAGCATCATAGAATCACAGAATCCTTTAGGTTGGAAAAGACCTTTAGGTTCATCAAGTCCAACCATTAACCAAGCACTAGCCAAGTCCTCCACTAAACCATATCCCTGAGCAACACATTCCCATCCTGAGCTATTTGTTGGAAAGACTGGTCCTCAGCACGACATGTGAATTTTACAATCTCCCCAGTTCCGGAGATGCACTAGGAAATAAATCCAGAAAATCTGATTAGGATTTGTCACTGAAGTAAGCTCATTAATCACTGACTGATGTGGTTCTTTCATGTGCAGTTTGCTATCTCCTGCAGGCACCAGCAGACCGGTGGGTCTGAAGGCTGCAGACTGGAAAAAGTTCTTTTTATACAGCAATTGCACTGATTTATGCCTCTTGAATATTTAGCACATTCTAATAAATAAAAAGAGCCACAAAGAATCAGTGAGATTATTGCATAGAGTCAGGCACAGGATTCCCCTAAAATAATTCCTGTAGCCAAAAATGGTAAGACGACCTAGTTTAGAAAATGTAAAACCCAGCAGGAAAAACTCTGTCAAGCCACTTGTCTTAGTAATTTTTGCAGCAGTCAGTTACCCATACTGTTGTGTAAAAAAGAATCACATTTCATTTCTTACCTGAACTTGCCTAGCTTTGCCTGTCAACAACAGGTTCTTTGAGTAAGAGATGAAAGTCTTTTATTATTAAATTGCTGTTTCCCCAGCCTCCCCCAAAATATTCTCAGCTAAGCTGAGCCAGCTGAGAAACTGCCATCTCAAAGCACAGCATGTATTTTCCATGCCCCACCAAACACTGCCATCACAGGATGGCTTGTAATAATGCCAGCCGTGAACACACAGGTGCCAAAATTCAGGAAAAAAAAAAGCTGTGAATAACTTTCCCTGGCCTCAAATACATGGAATAAGTTGGGTATGTGTGGCTCCAAATTAAATGTGTGGATTAAACCCTGTAATACTGGGTACAAGCGAAACTAAGAAGTAAGACTTCTCTCCAGACCTTACAGCTAATTAGTCAAATCAATAAAAACAAGAGAAACAAGGAGTTTTGAAATTCTTCCTTTATCTCCTGATGTATTGGCCGCTGATATATCCAAAACCTAGGACACTGGTTGAAACACAGCCCCATAAATGATACTTACAACCTCTCTTTCAGAGCAAGCAGAAAGTATTAAAACTCGAACTGCACAGAATTTAAAGAACCACACATTTCTTCCCATTTTTTTCATGTTCTCTTTTAAGAAGATTTTACAGCCTACTGCTGGTTTAGAGATTAGTTAGATATTAGATACAGGAACAGAAAACATTTGTGATCACTGCTTAATGGGAATAGCTCCTCTTAAGAGCCAAAGAATTAATTTAAGACACCTGGCAGTTTCCAGATGCAAAGAAAAGGATGTTTCTCCATTTAGAGCACATAAATCTCCTTCCTCGTGTCTTTTCTGGAAGATAGGTTGAAGAAAATTCCACCCAAATTCACCCAGCCAGACTAAGACAGTTTGGTTCTCAGAAGCCAACAATGGTCAGGTATTTACAGAATTTGTCCCTCTCTTCTCTGGAACAGAAAGTCAACCCGGTCTTTCCACTCTTACCTCCTTGGATTAAAGGTACCCGGAAGCACACAGCGTGCATACCAGAATGCCACCGCAATATGCTCAAGGAAGTTCAAAGACAGAGATTGTTATAAGAGGAAAGGCAGTGTTAAAACAGCCTAACACTTTTACTGGTTCATGGATAAACTAAAATAGCATATGGATTTAATGAACCCATTTTTGCAAAGACCTGACCTAGCAGAATGACTGGGTTTTCCTTTCCTATCTAGTTTCTAGGAGAGCGGGGGGGTATGTCTCCTTCAGCACATACAGCTTTACCACAGATAGGCTTATGAGTAACATGTGTTAGTTTTTGGTGAGTCATCGGTGCTAAATTACACCTAAAGCTGTCTTGTTGCCAGTGCAGCAGGCCTGAACTGAGCTCTGCACACACGAGGCATTCGGTTCTGGCACTCTCTGCAGGGACAGAGAGCTGCTAATGGTATGTACCCAAGTGAGTGTGCAAAACCCTTTTAGTCACACAGACAGAGTGCTAAGTAATTTCCTCTTCCTTTCCCAACTATTTAGCATGCCAAAGAATTATCTCCATTCTGTGTTGCTACAAGTCTTTCAAAACTACCTCCCTTCACATTAACTCCACGAGATGGCAGGTAAAATACCAGCAGCGATTAGAGCTGCTCCCACATGGAATCTCAGAAGTAGGTCAGCAAAGGTGGCTTGTGTCGGATAGGCCTTGCCAGCTCCGATGAATCATGAGTGCCTTTCAATATCATTCCCATTAATTGGGCTCCAAACGTCTCCTTCACTGCTTGTCTGCAAGAAACACTTGCCCTGGGTAAACTGCATCTCAGTTCTCCCAGATACCGCACTGCCACATTCATTAGTTGTTCGCTAGCTCGCAGCTCGGGGCCCTGTTGCATTGGATTCGGCACAAGGACATGGCCATTCCTCCAAGAGTTTGCAGTGTAAATAGACACAAGGAGCCATGGGAGGGAGGAGACCACCAGCACAAAGATGGTGGGTGACTTGCTGAAGGACTGGGACACCCAACACCTCATCTGCCTCTCTGCCAACACACAGCCAGGGCATGTTCCTGATCCCACAGCCAAGGTAAATGCCTCAGCTAAGGGCAACCTGTTTGGATAACGTCCAAAGTATCCACGAAACATTAGACAGAGACATGTCTCTGCCAGCTAAGAGAGACAGAGGCACAAAGGCAGAGCTGTAGCCTGAGGCGTGAGCCCTGTGGTAAATTCAGGCAAGCAGGGTGATTATCTTGCACACCGTTCGCACTACCTGCACACCAGGACGGTGGTGTTTGCGTGAGTATATGGGATGGCCTACTCAAGAGCGAGCGAAAGCACGCGCTCTGTGTTTGGGATGTCTTCCTAGGAGTGAAGCAACAAGAGGTAAATCAAAAGTGTCTGCTGCCTTGACAAGGGGTCAGGGCCCTGTTCTGTAAATCCTTCTGCAGGCACCAGATTGCCACCCCATCACAACATTGGTCCATGGTGCTGACAGTGTCACTGAATTTCTCCCTAAGCAAGTGCAACAAATGCCTAGAGTCAAACAGCTTTTAACATGCTCACAAGCCAAGAACCACATTCCCAAAGAGATCCTTTATCCTGAGCAGTCACTTTCCCACCCTGCTGCAAAACCTGCAGACCTACAGTGCATAAGAGCTACACTCTCGTACTCACCCAAACCGTATTATTCCATCTTGTCAGAGCTGAAATAGCTGGGTTTATGCCAGTCTCCACGGCTGCCACCTCTTCCCCTTGAAGGGAAGGCTTCAGGAGCGAATACACCTTTTAAAAACAGAGACAAGCATGAGCGTTACACGCTTTCAGACGTGTTCATTCAGCATTCTGCACAACGTCAAGACAACCTCAAGGATGCACACAAGTTCGGGTTACGAGAGCACAGATCTGGCAAGCCAGAAAGTGTTTACACAGAGCATAACAAACCTCAGCACTGCCCCATTGTGCAGCCTAACACCCTCACCACTTCCTCAACGAGACATCTCTCTGAAAAGGGAAAAGCAGCTGGCCATGACCCAAGCAAACAGCTGGTCTTCCATGCTTTTCTCTCCCTCATACAGGTGACCTCCAGATGGTCCAAAGAGATGATCCAAAAGGCAAGCATGTGCCAGGACAGTCCAGCATGGCAGAAGTGGCTTACCTTCTCTGCGACTGCTGCCTCGGCTGTGGGGGCTCACTATCGGCATACGCATCATCTGTAAGTTAAAGAAGTTTTTTTAAAATGCTCGTCTGTCAAGAGTCCGCCTCTCCTTCACTTCCTCAGGTACTATGTGATCACTGAAGTAATTCCAAACTTCATAATTAATTTCTCTGAAAACAGGATGACTGCTGATACTATTGCAAAGCAGTGACGTTGCTAAGGAGGTCTGCAGTTGCAGGTGGGCTCTCAGGTCAGCATCTGCTGTACTTAATACCTTACCTGACCTTCCTGTCATGCAGATACAGCCAGGAGAGCAGAGTTAGTCTGTTGCCGTCACACAGGGCACCTCTTTGACCCATTTATTCCAAATTACTCTTTTAAAAGTTCTCTATACTCATCTTTTGTGGCCTTCATCCAAGTAATAAGATCCCAGCCTCAGCCAATCACATTTCCTTCTCCTATCCGAGTGCCACCAGCACTATGGGAGCTACACAAACACCATCCAACACAGCCACACCACACCATCTCAGCCAGGCTGAGATCATTTGAACTGAGTTACAGCTCTAGAGCAAGAACTACAGTGCACTTGCTGCAGCCCTCTGCAAAAAGAAATATTTTCCTTTTCATGTGCGATAATTCCCTTTGGCATTTATTCCTTATTAACATTGCAGGAAATATATTCCCCAGCAGGAGTATTGGCAGCAGTACTGAATTTTAAGTGATGGTTAAAGAAGACTTGCAGGAAGATGTCTGCTTGTAAAAGCAAGTGTTTATACTGCGTGCCCTATTAAACGAGAGTTATGCATAACCCACAGAGGACACACCGAACATCCAAGACTACGTTACATATTTCAGCACTTCACATGCAGTCTTTCTGCTCTGCAAATCAAGATCTCCTGTGGTGCATTTGCTAGCTCCAAATAGAGATTCTGAACAACAACAACAAAGAGAATTACAAGCTAATTCGGTGATTCAAACCAAGAGAAGGTGACACAGAATCCCATTTTCTTCAAGTCATTCATTTAGTCACTTGTGCTTTCCAAAAATAAAAGCTGTCCATATCCTCAGGCACCTTCCTCGTGAAATCATCTTTGGTTCCCTGCATATAATCCTCAAGCACAACACCCACTGTAGATCTGAATGGGCACCGAGGTTCAAGCGTCAGTTCATGAAAAAACTGGGCAGTGGCATGATTTGAAAACAGGTACCAGGAATTCACGGGTTGGGTCAGCATTTAATCACACTTTAAAAACTAAGTAAGAGCTCAACAAGGGAACACAAATCTCAGCAGAGCAAATGCTCTTCAGCTACACTGTGATTACGTGCTCAGCTGAGAGCTGGGTTTGGTAACAGAGCCAGACTTATCAGTATTTGCTTCTGTCTAAGAAGTGCCAATCCCTGCTCTCCAGGCACATGCTCTACATGTTAACAAAGAGTGTCGGAGTTGGTGGATGTGCCAGACTGCCGCGGAGATTCACACTCTCCCCAGGCACCCATCCAGCAAGGTCAAACCTCTCAGATGATGGAAAGTGAAGCGTTACAGGAGACAGCTGGATTTCAGACCACATTCTGGTCAAAACCTCCGACTGCAAGAGGGGTTGCAGTTCGCACACATACACCTAACTTCTCCTTAAAAGAGGATGAACAGAACTGTCACTCCCCCCAGGCAGGAAAAATTAGGTTTCCCCATCCTTACCTCCTCGCTGCTCATCGATTCGGAGCTGGATGCACCACGATGGCACTGCACATGAACGTTCGAGATCAGCTCCCCGGAGACTTCCACAACGCTTCTGCAGAAAGCAGTTGCCTGTAAGAGATCAAAATAGAGCAAATCTTGTAGAGGAAAGCTACAGTACAAACGCTCTCATGGGAGTTTCATTGGGGGTGGGAACCCGTACAAGGATTGAAAAAACAAATTCCAAAAGGAAGAAACTCAAGCAAGATGATGCAGCTAACAAATTACTGGAGCAGAGTGCAACCAGATGAACATATCCTGGCAGCACGTCACTCCACAGTGGTGTGTTAGCTGCATGAAGCCTTCAGCCTGCGCGAGGTAGAAAATCTCCAAATCCTTTCCATGACTCTGGCATCACCAAGCACAAGCAGAAGAGCTGTGCAGGGCTATGCTGATGGCAGGCCCAGCTCTAAAATTTAAACTACCTTTAAAGAAGTCATCTCTGTGATTGGACAGAAGCTCCAGCACAACCTGCACCCAAGTTGTGGAAAACAGAGATCCTCACACTGTCTTTCATATCATATTGTTCCAAGAAGAGAGAAAATAAGAGGGATAGTGTCTGTTTAGGATACAGTGACAACCTTGCAGCAGCTAACCCTTGTGTCTTTAAGGAAAACCCAGCAACAACCATCAATTCTGTGTTGTCCCATCTATACGCACACACAGGCTGCTTAGCTCAAGAGTAGTGATACTCAGAGACGTTTATCCCCCCCTTCACAGGGTAAAGTACCCCCTGAGATAGTAGTATGATGCATAAGCTATGAGGAAAGCCTTGGAGCCATCTGTTCAGTGCCTTCCCAGAATCCCTCCTCTTCCCTAAAGACTGTTCCCAGGAAGGACAGATAAGTTTGGCAGCCATTCACAGAGGGAAAAAAGAGGCAAGAAGATCTCAGCTGAGAGCAGCACAAAGAACCAGAGAGCATCTCCGTGGAAGTCTGACACACAGTATGGCATCACGGCACAGAGGGACTTGAGAGCTACTCCACATGCTTTGTAAGATCTGTGCAAGCAGTTAGGGGACAATCCCTCAGCAGCTTGCAACAGGAGCCATGTTTTGTCAAAGCTAATTTCACAGAGAACTCCAGATTCAAAGATGATGCGTTTACACCAAGCCTGGTCATCTAAGAATCAGAGCGCAGCAGGAGCTGTATCAGGAGTTTATATATCCGTGTTGATTTCTGGCTGAAAAAAGAGCTGGAAATCTGGAAAAGATTAGCAGTGTCAGCAGGGAGTGGGACTCTGCACTACGTAGGAAGGTAAGCCTGTATGTGGTGCCTAGATGCGTGATAAACAAAAGCAGGTCAAATGTCAGGTTTTCAACCCTCTTACCTAGAACAGAAGGCATACCTTCCTTCCAGGATGTGGTTCCAGAACACGCAGACACTTTCCATACATGCTGCTCCAAGACAGGCACCCTCTTTTCAGCTCAGAGCAGCTCCTGTGCTCCCCACTGACCAGGCAGAAGAGTTTCCCAGCACTGACCCTTCCCACCTCGCACCCACTCCACGCTGTAAGGCTGTACTTGTTCAGGTTTGGTTTTCCCTTTTCAGAAAGTCAGTCATTCTTCAGCACCAGCAGTGTTTCAACCTGTCCTGAGATCATCCTGCCTGGAGCAGGGGTCTCATGTTCACACCAGAGGCACTTACCACGAAGGGCCCTATTTTGAAGTCACATGTGAACGGGTCTCTCGCTGAAGCTTTTGTGCACACAGTTTCACGAATGCTGAACTGCAGCTCTAGTCTATAACCATCGCTGTTCCACATGTCAACCTGGGAAGAGGAAGGTCAACACAACATATAATTAGTGCCTGTCATTCCTCTATGCCTCCTACATGGCAATCTTGCTTCTCTGTCAAGCAGAAGTGAGATGTAAGGGCATTATGGGTCAGCGCGCCCAATTTAGAGCAGATTACCGTGTGAGAAAGGGTATTTTATTGTGCTCAGGAGTTATGCTTTTAGGCAGATTCAGTAGCAGCAACACAGAACAGCTTTCCTTGGGGAAAACCCCACAGCCACTGCAGGATCCTCCTACTTCTCAGAGTCTGGAGGGACTATAGCTCTCAAAGGTAGCTAAGCATAGCATTACCCCTATATGCTACCCCCTCTTCTGAGGGAACCAGGGCACTAACAGCTCTGCTTTGGATGTCTAGGCTGCTGGGAAGTCTATTGCAAATACATGACTTGGAAAGTAAATCACACGACTGCAAGCAATCGAATTAATGTGGTTTATAGAGTCGCTCCTTGCCAGCTCAGGAGCCTCAATCACACTGCAAGCTTAGAGTTTGGTTCCTTTTGTGGACACATTAGGGTTTCCTTTTCTCCTTCTCACAGTCTAATCAATGTTTTAGCTCAAGATAGGAGACTCAAACAAAACAAAACCTCCACAGGAGCTCGTACATGCCAACTTTAAATTAGGAAGCTTTAACTCCTTAACTCTTGGCATTCAATATAATTCTTAGCAACACAAATTAAGACAGAAAAGGGTTTCCCGCCTGCATTTAGACACTAGTCCATTTAAACCAGAATTGGTGTGTACAGCCAAATGATGTAAACAGAGGTCAGAGAAAGAATCCTGAATGTATTTGTGGTGGCATTTAATTAGCAGTGCAGATATTTGGCTGAGACCTCCAGATGAACCAGGTTACTTCATGCCCAAAGCAAAGCAGTTAGCTGGAGCTCTTTAAAAACACGTTTTGAACAAAATCTTACAAGACTTCCCTCAAAGATTTCTATTCTAGGAGTGGAAAATTTAAACCCCTCAAGTATTTTTAATTACAAACCGGCATACAAAGAATACTTGGGTTCCTAAAGCCATAGCTTCAGATAATGCCCCAAACCCACCCTTTTTTCCAAACACCACCAGAAAGCTCCAACTAAATGCGGGTTTCCAGGGTTGGGTGAAAAAGCGTTTTCTACCACGGCAAAGCATATTTCAGGTAAAGGATCTCCATTGTCTGCACACTTACTCTTGTGACATGGCTCCTGACAACACCATACAGGTTTGTCCCCCAGGACTGGGAATTGATCCTTGCAATGGAAGCATTGACAGCTTCTTCCATGACAGGGAGTTCATAGTCATACACTGGAAATGCTGAGATGGAGGCACAGTTCCGTTAGAAGTTCAGTCTGGTCTTGCACTTTTCCACCCAAAACCACCGTAAGAAGAGGACGTGGCTCCATTCTCAGCAACTTACCTGAACACGACAAAACGCTCAGCGCGAGGACAAAAATTAAGATCCTCATGGTGTGACTTTCAAAATCCTCTGGGGTCCTTTCCCTTTCTAAGCAAAGGTTTCCAGCACATATTCCTCTGTCCTTATATAAATGTAGCCTTGATCCCACACCTGACCTTCCTGCGTCCAAGCTCTGCTACAAACACTGTACTTTAAACAGAATTGATCCGAGAGTAAATATTTGCTGTCAGCTTTTCCCCATTTAGCAGTACTTCTCCAATAAGACATGGGCTGCGGTGTCTTTTTCCCAGGACTGCAACCTAAAGGGAGCACTGAATTCCTGACACCTCCACAGCCAAAGGCAGAATCGAGTTATTTTGTTCACTATTAGCCATTTCCACATGGTGAATCAACTCTTTCCTTAGCACCGGCCTCAGCACCTCTGCGTCTCGGCAGCAAATGGTTGCGCTTAGAAGGCGGCGCTCCCAAGGAAGATTCCCAGCACCGATTGTGAATCCACCTACGCAGACCTGTCTGACAGCACCACCTCGCAGGCCAAAGCATCCAACAGAAGCCTCCCAGACACGAGGCACACGGCAGACCCTTGGGACACCCCGGTCTGTTTGCCTTGCAAGCTCCCGAGAGCTCTGCCACAAGAGCTCCCACATTGTCCTGACTCTTGCAGAGCCTGAGCCCAGCTCACCAAACCAGTGAGTCACTGTGGACATTTGGTTCCCCCTGTCAGACCCACCCTGATGCTCAGGCTTCAAGTTTCAGCACAGATATTAATGGGATTTTGGGAAAATTACATCCTGACTACAGTATTGGAAACATCATAAGGAATTAGAGGGATGAGCTGGACACGACATCTCAGCTCTTGGCTAACTGGAGCCAGATTACAGCGGGGCCAGACGTCCACCCTCCCCAACACATGGCACCAAGCACTTACAAGTCTTGCTTTCCAGATACAGGCAACGTATCTCACAACCCTACTGCAACTACCCCACAAGAAGCGTGCTGAAACACTTCTAGGAGGGCTCAGAGATGCACCTGGGATTTAAGTGCTTAAAGACTGTCCGTGGGAGTTGGGTGCTGCCTTCAAACAAGCTCACCCCTTGCTGACTGTTCACAAGAGATCCGTTTAACCACATTAATTTTGCAGATCCCATGTGCTAAATTCCTTCGTTAACCTTCAAATAGCAGTTCCGCTGGAATTAGGTGGCACAGGGTCACTTTAAGAACCTTCCAAAGGGGAAGCACTCAAGGAAAGACATGGGAGCACACGAAGTGCCAGGGCTCAGATTTAGTAAGGAGGAGGATAAAGGTGTTTCTGGTTGTTAGGTGGTCAGACTGCGGGATGGCAGCTGATCACAAGGCTGCACGCTGCGGGGCGAAATGGACACCTCGCCAGGGTCACACTACTGGCTAGTGCCACACCACGTGTGTGCCATCCCACCCAAGAGAGGTGGAGGTGGGTGCACGTTCCAAAAAAGGGGTGGGCATTTTTTTACCAGCCAACTTGGATTTCAGCATTGGGAACACAATCAAAAATGCTGACTGAAACTTTGCCCAGCCGGAAGCCAGAGCCTCATCTCTACATCCATTCTCCGTTCACTGCAGCTGAAGACGCTCTCTCCTGGCTCTCAGACACGCTCCTCCATGCAGGCTCTGCCCTTCACGCTTCCCAGTACTCCTTAACTGTGTCTGTGTCACGGGGAGGCCAGTAATGTTCTTCTGTGGCTACAGCCATGCCAGAGCACCACAGTGCAGAGGATTTAAACTGAGCTGGAGATCCTCGAGAACAGAGTCTGTTGTGCTGTCCCCAACTTTTCTGCAACCAGAACCAAGACCATGCCGTCTCAGATCAAGGAGGAAACCTTCCGATACACCGTGACCTGTTTCTGTGGTGGTTTCCCTGCAATCAACCATTCTACTGCTGTGGTAACGAAGCACAAGAAACAGCTCAAAACACTTGAAGGGAAAGAACTCAGCATCCAGAGCCCCAGGGTCCTTATTGTTATCCAGCATGCTTCACCACCAACCTGCTGGGGTAGTTTGGGTAACAATTGGCTTTTGACTTCATCCCTAGAAAAGCAACCATCTGCCTCTTGGATGCCAGGATCGGTTAATATTCCATCAGAACCTGAATATGTAAAACTGCTTCCTAACTGCCGAGCCACAGCGCTGTAGCCGGTCCAACATAATTTTAACTACTGAACCAGCTGCAAGGTTTAACGATTTTCCTCTTCGACTACCTACTAGGAAATGCTGCCAGCGGGATTGTAGGAATGCTGAGTGGTGCTTGAAAATAACATTGTTTAATGAAATGAAAGTTCCTCTGCAGAGCTCCGGCTTTTCTTTGCAGTATCCAGAGAACGGAGACATTTGCTATTCCACCTCCCTGAATCCTGGCTCATTTAAGTCTGTAGTGAACTCGGTAAATATTTCGCCTGCCTCTCCACAGATACACTGTACGCTCCAGTAGAATCATGTTACAGCAAAACGGGTTTCATTCACCGTCCATCTCAGAGATGGGTTTGGGTTGAGGGTGCTCAACCCAAACCAAGACAAGACCTGGGCAAGAGATAGGAACTGGAGGTGGGCAGGATGGGAATGGGGAGAAGGGAAAGCTCATGAAGAAAACAGGCTCTGGCACATGCTGGCAGGAGGAAACTCAAGTCTGAGCAGGGTGCAGCATTGTCCCCACTCACATCATCTCCACAGATATCACCCGCCCGGTGCTAACAGGCCAGGCACAGCCAACAGGAGAAGGATGGGGTATCTTGCTGTGGGGCAGGGGGTTGAAGAGAAGCATTCTTGGGAAACCTCTGCTTTCAGTAGATTTAAGAAGTGGAACAAATTTACATTTTCAGACCCAAGGTGCCCCAAATTCTGGGTTTCTGAGGTTTTCACTTCGGACTGGAGACTGTAACTGAAGCTTCAGGTTAGGAGATGTCACCAAACTTGTGAAGAACAACTGGAACTGAACCTGAAATTCGATACTTAGCAGAAGGCCTGCAAGGTCTAATTCCTGAACCCAAGCGACTCTTTCTTTATGGGCACAACCAGGACAGAAAGTTGTTGTTTCACCTGTGTTAAGGAAACAACAGGCATGGCCACGCAGGCCCCGGACAACGTGCTCTTGAAAGAGCAAAGCATCCTTCCCTTCCTCTAGGGACCAGCTCCTGGCGTTTGCCACTAAGGACCCTGCCATGAATTACTAGGTACTACGAGCCATTTTGGTGAATGGTGGCACATGGAGGAGGTGCAAACGATGAGACAATAAGTGTTTCTGACATGTTGCCCGCTGCCTTCCACATTCCCAGGCATTACACAGGCTTCTGTGGGAAGATGACCCAGACACCACACAGAACTGGGGAGAAGCCACAGATTTCATCTCTAGCTTTATGAAGGCTTCTGCCTGCAGTGGTAGCAACGGAGCTCATGATGTCTGAGCAGGATAACATTTTAATATCCCGATTAACCAGAATGAAGAATTCTGAGAAGACTTTTAGAGCTTGCAGAGCAGATAGAAAAAGCATATGGGCCCCTACATATACATCTTTCTAGAAAGGACAGATGTTATAGTTACACCCCCTAAAATACAAAACTTCTTGAAAGTTGGGGGGGTGGGGGATAGAGAAAGACTCTTCACAATTTAAAGGCTAAACTTTGACCCTACTACCAGCAAATTCCAGATGCCAATCACCTTGGGGCAGAGGGAAGGGGGTTGTATCCAATTTAATCTACACAGCAAACAGATTTGCACCATTTAAGAAAAGAGGAAATTAAAAAGCTTCTGTTAGATGACTATTTTCAGGCCACTGTCACTCCCAGCAATCAAGTCAGCTCTGTTCCCAGACAACTGGAAGAACAATAATTCCTCTTTATGAGTGAAATTTTGATAATTACAAGCTGCGTTTTCATTTAAAATGTAAATTGTCCAGCATCATCACATGCCTGTATGCTGAAAAGAATCTAAACAGCATCCCAGGCACTGAGGAGCTATTCCAGATTCCTTGTTTCCTGGACATTCAGATGACAGATGAAAGTTAATGATGTCCCTTCAGATGAAAGAAACACTGACTAAATTCAAAGAAGGATGTTCTTTTTTTCCCCTCTAGCTCTCATAGCATGGCACTGGCAAAACCAAAAGGCTCCCTAAAAGTTCTTCTCCATGGATAACGTCTTCATCACACATGCAGAAGACTGTTATACTGACATCAGCTGGTAGAGGCAAGAGAAAGGCTTCTAGACTTTGCTCAGCCTAACACAGGCTTTGAGACCTGATCCATAATTCACAGTCACCAACAGAGCCTCAGCTTTGATTCCCTTCAGATCTTGTCTGCATGTCCCTTGGGAAAGTAGCAGATGATAGTACAGCCAGTGCAGACACTGCCCGGGGGCTGCTGAACGTTCTCCAGCCCTTGACCGCCTGGGATGGAGAATTAAGTCTTTGCTCTTCCAATTTCTCCATCCCAGGTGAAATGAGACGTCGGACACATCTCTCAACCCCACATACAGCTTTCTGCTGTAAACGCTTGAAGGTTTGATGGTCAAAGGGAGGGTAAAGTGAAGACAAGTGAATGTAGTTGACAGCTTCCCACACCTACAGTACTAAGGATGAAACCAGATGCATTCCTTAGGCCTGGAGTTATTATAATTTCTTAATTATGAATGTCTCATACTCTACAAGGTTTGCTGATGCTCTGGGAGAGCTCAAGAGTTGTTCTGTGTGACGACTGAAAACCACTGGAACTGATGTCTGAACAGTAATTTTACACAGATGAAAGGAACCGCTGCAGAGGCAGTGCCTAGCCCCTTTGGCACCCCAAGTCTGAGGGGCCCCACGCAGGCAGGTCTAACGACGGCAACCTAACCCTATGCAGTTTGGACTGCTGTTGCTGGACGTGGACTTTGAGAGTGAAGCAACAGAAAGCACACACCGTGGCAAACAAAACCTTCGTAACACACACGGGATAACGCTTCTGAAACATCCCAGGCTGCAGCAGGATCTCAGAGGTCTCACTTCATTACTGTGAGCCTTTGAAACGTTAAATATTTATATTT